AATGGTGGTTGATTCATCCAAATTGGTTTGGTACATCAAAAGTTATGATCGAAAATATAAATCTTTTAATGTTAACATTCTTCCCCACTTAGTTTTGAGCTCTGCGAAAATTAGAGTAGGGCATGATAATCAGCAGTAGACAGACCATTAATCTTGGCAAGTATTGTATTGGTGGTTTGAAAGATTTGTTGAATTCCAAAACTTTCAAAATATTATAGACTCTGATAGAAGCCTTATAATAATAGATAGAGACTTCTCGTCGTATCATTCTTTGCTCTAGAGGATTTTCTTCTATTAGTTTACCTAGATAGTAGGCATAGGCTAACTGTGTTTTCCTCATATAAGGTCGGGTTCTAAGTAACTTGTTTCTAATTTTTACAATTTTGTCTTGTAAACTTAGAGTTCTATCTACTGGTCAAGGTGTTGGATTAGGATATACTGGTGTCATGCTAAGAAGATCAGCGAGAATCTCATTGAAATCATTAGTCATTATGAAAGAGTATTATTTTCATTGACAAGAGATGTTGATTGATTCATAACAATCATAGGGTTCCACAAATATCTATCATGATATCTTTTTAGTAGCAGGGTATTAATTGGTATTTCTAAAATATTGCCATTCAAGGTTCACAATATGTAAACATCTGGTACAACTTTCTTATATACAAAGTAAGATCCTTTCCATTTGGGTAATAGTTTGCCAGAATAATGCTTATCTCTTATAGCATCGTATAAAAGAACTTTATCTTCTTTTTTAATGATTGGTTTGATCTTTTTGTGCTTTTTGTCCTAATAGAATTTTTGTCGAATCTGAGTTTTTTTAATATTGTCTTTAGCTTTTTCTTGTTCTTGTGGTAACTCTTCAATTAAAGAGAATAGTCGGGTAGAAAAGTTTTCTTCTAGTGGGTCTTCGATATCAAAATTTGGAAATTTTGCTTCTCTCCTATATGTAAAATAAAATAGTGTAAACTTGGTAGTAGATTGTTTTGCAGTTCAATAAGCAAATAAAACTAAGAGGATAAAGATATCCCAATCTTTGCCCTGGTTAGTTAACTTTGCTAAAGATTCACATAATGTTCGATTGAATCTTTCAACTAATCCATTAGTTTGTGGATGATAGAGAGTAGACAGTAGATGTTAAATTTCAAATTTTTGAGTAAGCATTTTTACTAGCTCATTATTGAAATGTCTTCCTTGATCAGACTGCAGATATGTAGAGCATCCATGACGACAGATTATATCTTCATACATAAAATCTACTGTATTTTTGGTATCAGCTCTAGGTACAGCTTTTGCTTCTGGCCATTTGGTCATATAGTCAGTAGCAACTATAATATACTTGTTTTGTTGAGTAGTGGTAGGTAGAGGTCCAACAAAATCTATACCAATTCAGTGAAAAGGTGCTTCTACAGGAATTGGTTGAAGAGGTCCTGGTATTCAATATTTTCCTCTTTTTGGCAGATATCACATGTTTGAATATAATTCTTAATATGTTTGTATATATGTGGCCAATAGTATTTATCTTGAATTTTTCTAAATATCTTATCTGTTTCAAGAAGCTCCAATCAGATGGTTGTGCATTAAGTAAAGGATTGGTTCTACTTCATGTGCTTGGATTACTTTAAGTAATTGGTGAGTCTTCTGTTTTCTTCAGTTTTGTTTGTAAAGTAAATCATTCTTGATAATATAAAATTTGCTTTGGGATTCTAATTGTTTTTTTTTGACTTCTTGTAAAATTTGTAGAAAAATTCGCTGTTTCCAAGAAGTACTTAAGTAATAGTTTCTATTTTTAACTGGTTGCTAGGACACTGACTACCTAGACTGAATTTTCTTTAATGTCAGATTTTACAATATCTAGCTAAAGAAGAATTAAATATAATTATAAAAGTGTATAGAGCTCCAGCCTCGCTCT